GAAAAAATTGTTGAAAGGAGTGATCCTTCTTTAGCACAATTTTCACAGCTCGTGGCCTAGTAATTGCTTTAATTTTTTTAGGGTATAATTTTGGGGAAACCTCAATGGCAGGTAGTTATCTTTATTTTTAACTTCCAGTAATCAATTTTCTTGCTTACTCCCAGCAATCCAATCTTTTAGAATAATTAAATTTTACGGAGTCATCACTTGCTTCTTGTAGGCTGGTGACATTTTCCTTCCCTTCTATAGACATTCTGATTTTTGACACTCTGCACACTTCTGACCTAGTTAGTTGTGACTTTCTCTGGTGTCTAATTTTCTGTAATGTTCCCTTTAAACTTTTGACCCTGTTTGGGAATGGTGGTGCTCTTATTAAGTACAGAATTTGATAATCACAGTGTAGCATTCAGATATTTTTGTTACTACTCATTGCATCAGTCTATTGCTTGAGGCTTTTTCCCCCTCTAATGTAGATCATCGAAAGTCTGTGCCATATTATATCTCATTTTGAACTGCAGAACTGAGAATGTATCATTATGTGTTGAAATTCTTGGACTCTTCTCCTGAAATTATTCCATTTCATCTCACAACTGCATTTATTATACTGTAATGCAATTACATACATCATTCTTATGGGGATTTGAAGTGTTCACTTCAAATGTCTGGAGGAGGAGGCATTTTCACCAGGTTTTAAAAATAGCTGGAAAAATAGCTTGAATTACCAGCATCTGAACATTGTATACCAATTTAGGGCATAGATTCTATGTCCAAATAACACTAACACTTTACAGGAAGGACAATCAAGCAATGAACTTTTGTTATAGTGCCTGTAGCAGAGGGTTTGGATGGCTTTTTGCCATTTTTATTACTGAACATTGCCTATGTCCTTAGAGATGTGTAGCATTTAGAACCACTTTTATTTTGCCTTCCTGTCTAATAATCTAAAAATTTTCTGAAAATTACAGAAGGCTTTGCATCCCAAAGAGTTTTACAAACTACACATGTGTAGAAATGACTTACTGCAACATTGAAAGTCATCTTGCTCTGGGGAATGAATCTAGGGAATCTTTCTAGACCACAACTAGCCAGATCATTGAGTTCATGACTCATTCTAAAGGCAACTGCAACATATACTTTAATTTTATAACAGTTTGTCTCTATACTGAGCAAAAAGAGAAAGATCACATGTCAAACTGAACTGTAGCATCTAGAATATATTTTATGAGGAGGAGAATCAGATGGCGGCATAGGTAAACACCTGTACTTGCTGCCTCTAACAACCACATCAAAACTACAGCTAGCCCTAGCTGGTTTGGCTCAGTGGATAGAGCGTCGGCCTGCGGACTGAAGGGTCCCGGGTTCGATTCCAGCCAAAGGGCACATGCCCAGGTTGGGGGCTCGATCCCCAGTAGGGGGCGTGCAGGAGGCAACCAATCCATGATTCTCTCTTATCATTGATGTTTCTATCTCTCTCTCCCTCTTCCTTCCTCTCTGAAATCAATGAAGAAATATATTAAAATAAAAAATACAGCTAAAAGACAAAACAAATATCATTCAGAACCACGGAAAAGCTGGCTGAGTGGAAATTCTACAACTAGAAGGAAAGAAAAAAGCACAGTGAGACTGGTAGGAGGTGCGGAGGTACGGATGTGCAGAGGTGCGGAGGCACGCATGAAATGGGCTGGCAACTGGGTGCACTGTTGTTTGTTTGTTTTCAAATCAGGAGGGAGATACAAGCTCCCGATTGGTCTGAACTCCAGTTCAGGGCAAGACTCTGGGGACTCAGACTCATACTGGGAGAAACTGGACTGTCTGGCATCAGGACAGGATTGCGAGGGTGGCTTTCTCTCAGAGGTACTCACAGCGATCATTGTTCCTGTGTGGGGGCGCAAGACACAGAGACATGAAGACTCGGGGACCTCCCCCATGCAGGCTGACTGGCAGCCATTGCTGTTTGCTCTGCCCTGTTGATTCACTGAGCCCCCGCCCCACCCAATTTACAACCCCACCCAAGCTATGAGCAACAGCTTTTGCATATGAATGGCCTGTACTTTTGCCGCCTAACCTAACAAACTACAGCTGGGTCAGAGAGCTCCAAAGCTTCCAAAAGAAGACCCAAGGCTTGGCAGCAGCAGCACCCTGCCTTGCTTCACAGCTGGGCCATATCTGGGCACTTCCAAACCCCAAACAAAGAGGAGGAATCTGCAGATCTGGATGTAGATCCTGCTGGGTGGCCTCAGGCAGTGGCTCACTTTGCACCTCCTTGGAGATCCAGAACCAGTGTACCCAGTGGTCAGTGTGAGAACATACCAGATTACAACTCTTCACATCCATAAGCGACACACTCAAGGAGCAGACTCAGCACCGAACCTCACTGAAGCAAGTCCTGCTCCATAAGGGTGTCTCCAGCACAGCAGTTCTCCCATTGTAGACACAGCTGGTCCTCACAGCCAATTGGCCTGGAGGTCAATTCCTCCCAGTGATACCAAGAGCAATCAAAGCTTAACTACAACAAGACTGTGCACACAGCCCACAAAGGGGTGCACCAAGAGTGTCCACATCAGGTAATTGGGGAGGCTGAGCCACTGGGCCCTATAGGACAACTAGCACACAAAGC